AATCGACCACGATTTTTTTTACTAAAATTTTTTGTTATACGCAGATCAGTTTTATCTTTTAAATTATGTTTTATTCAAAACTATTTTAAAAGATTATTTTTAGGTATTTGACCTACCTAACCCAAAAAGGTCAATGTTGACTCTCAAAATATTTTTTTTTAATAAAAAGCATTTATTTAGTCATTTTTGTTTTCCCGCCAAGTAAAATTTTGTGCCCGGACGAAAACCGATTACGACAGACAATAGTCGAACACCGCTAGTGATTGATAGCTGCAGGTCACCCATGGAGGTAGGTACACATACCTCCCCTCCCCTCCACCTGCTTTGACTAAGCTAGTGATCATCTCTTTGTTAGGTTTAACATTTTGGGTGATGAAGACCTTTTTGTCCTGTCAAGAGGTATTAGATGTTAGCGTATAAGATATTCCCGTAATGTAAAAAGTGTCTGTAGCAACCGAATGAGATACTATCTGGTTTCGAATATATAAGCTATCCTCAGACAATCACCTTTAGAAGTGGATATTCTCTTGCACGAGCCAATGAAACAGCCATATTAAAGCCGATTTCCTTCTCCTTCTTGGCATCCCTCAGGATGTACTTTTTCTCATCAAGTAAGCAACTTGCCTGTCCGCAACTGTCAAGCCATAGAGGTGTTACCACCGGTTTACCTGCGGCAATGGCTTCCAACATGTTCCTTGTACGCACAAATTTGTCCACTATGAAATGTGTGGCATCCATAGAACATGATGTGATAGAAATACCGAGTCGTGCAGAGATCTGACTGAAATAAAAGCACATCAGATAATAATACAAATAAATCTACGAGTCTTGCTGCTGAATAAGAAACAAATGCTACACCTTTTTCTGCTGCTTGATTAAATCATCATCCAAATTAGATATTAACTCGGGAACTCCTAATCCCATAAGCTCTTTCAAAAGTGGTGGTTTTGGTAAGCTTCTGTTTCAAGGTCTTCTTTGATATGCGTAAAATCTATTGGAGTGAGGCCATATTCACACTTTTTTACAACTAAGTGTGGTGTTGAATTCGGTACCAGAGGATTCAATACTCTTTCTTGGTGATTCTCCAAAATTATGGTTCTTTAAACCGTTGATAATTCATGTAGAATCCACAAAATCTAGCTTCCCAGTTTGGGCGGCCATGGCTCCATCCAAGTCCCTCGCAGATATGCTTGTGACTGATAAATCACTGTTTTTAACAACACCTGCAACTTGTACACAACAGTTCTTTCTCGATAGAATTTCATCAGAATTATTTTCTAAAGAAAGCGAGAGAGGTTAGTTCACATTTGTCCCTTCATGTTGAAGTTACTAGAATTGGTTTCACCATCTCCTGGCATTTTTTTGACTCTTGACAGAATCCAGGTTCTGTTCTTCTCCAGCAACACTAGCGAATGAACCATGCATATTACTCTCTCCACTGGAATGGATTGGCACTTTACAAAGTGATCTTTTTCCTTTGGGGCAGTTCCATGAATCTAATCTTAATAGCCTGCCAATTGCAGCCTCTTCTGGACTACTTTGTTGTTGTTCACTCGGTCGGCCATCAGAAGCTTCAGTAGAGGCATAAGAATGCAGCTCGAAGCATTTCTGCTTGCCACTTAATAACTTAGGTGGTGGATCAGCAACCACTCTTTTCCTCTTTCTCTTATAAGTCAACATATTTTCCTCATTGACATTATTGGTCATTACTATTGGTGTACTAACTTGGTCGTTATTCTTTTTCGCGGTAGCTCCACCCTCCGAGTGCCTAGATTTAAGAGTAACAGATTCCTCCCATGACAGTTGTTTACTCAGCAAGGTTTGCTCATCAGGAATCGGCCTCCAAATTCAGAAGACACTATACCTTTCTCGATAAAGGAATCGGCCTCTGCTTGGCAACAACTCTCAAACCATTCAAAGGCTCCCGTTTCTTTGGCCGGAGATCCCCGCTTGATGATCTTAGTCAAACGTTGAGTTCCCTTCGCACCGGAAACACGAGGTGATTTAATCCTTGTTCACTCCTCAACTCCTTGACACATATCCACAATATTAAAGCTCAAGAAGTTATCGACGAAGCAAAGTGCAGTAGCTTCAGACGATTAATCGGATTCCGACATTCCAATCTCATGATCACCTTCTTGTTTTCCATCACTGCTATTATGATGCACCGAAGACGATTTCTTCCCTTCAATTCAAACAACAGAAAATTGTTTACTAATTCTTACTATACGCCGTAAGATTAAACCAAAACAATAACAAAAAAAAATCATATTGAATAAATTTTTTAAAACAAAACCAATGAAAAACTAACCTGCACCGAGTGGTTTGTCAATTGAATCAGCAGAATCTAAACATGGGATTCTACTAGTCATTCTACAACGTCCTTCATCCTCACTATCAAGCACAATTTCATTATGACCCATATCATCATCAGAATGATATTCATCCACTACTTCAGTGTGAAATTAAAAAAAATTAATACATCTAAAAGCTGATCGGTTTTTTAAACATGTTTTCGGTCTTAGACGAAGATGTCCTCGTGTCTCCGCTTCAGCCTCCACTCCATAAAAATTGATATTAGTTAATATAGGGGCGTTCCGAGAATCGAACTCGGGACCTCTCGCACCCAAAGCGAGAATCATACCACTAGACCAAACACCCACGTTCCTCTGGTCCCACAACAAACTATAAGATTGGACACACATATTTTGTTTTCTAGCTTCGGATTTTAAATGTAAAGCATACTATTTATAATTTGATGTTCTTGATTGAATTAAATTTGAATAGGTGAAAGTACAAAATAAATTACTATGATAATCAAAGCCGTTTCAGATATTTTCGGGAACCTGAGCGAAAACTCAGAAGTATGCATTTATAAAATAAAAGTATGTTTCATTACTTTGAACACTTAATTCAATATTACACAAATAAATCATGGAAATTGATTAAATTTTGTGAAAATATATTATTTTTATTATTTTATTAAGAAAACGCCTTAAATATAATTAAAAGATAATAAATATAAAAAATTGAATTCCTGTGTGATACATAACCAAATTTTGAATAATAAATAAATAAAAAGAATTGTATATTATTTTATTGTTAGATTGAGAATGAAAAAAACTAAAAATTAAAGAACATTTGATAAATTGAAGAGTAAGATTTGAAAAAAAGAGAAAGACATGGTTAATCTTAATTCAACATTGAATGAATAAATGAGAGAAGTGACAAAAGAGGGTAAAAAACTAAACATTTTATGAAATTATAAAAATTAGGCACCTATTTATAAATATAAAAAGTTGGTTAAATTTAATTCAAAATTGAATTAATAAGAGAACTGGAAAAAAAGGGTCAAAAACTAAATTTTTTATGACAATATAAAAATTAAAAGCCCTAATTGTGAATACAAAAAATTAAGAGACCTATTTAAAAATACAAAAAATTGAGGGCCTCAATTTTATAAAGCACCCGTTTTATTAATTGTTTTGAGTCTTAGCTTGAAGATTATCTTTAATACAAAATATTTTGATTGTGTTTTAAATACTCTGAATTCAAATTGGATTTTCTCACTGACTAAACAAAATTATTAATATTTGAATTTATTTTTTTTTTTTGCACGAATCAAACGACATTAATGGTTCTAGCGCGACATTTACAAAGATGTATAAATTAAAAAAATAAAGAAAAATATGATAATTTTTTATCAGATAATTTTGCTTGAATTAATAGAATTCGGATAATCTAAATATTATATAAATAATATATTTATTCTGAAAAAAACTGTTCACTCAATATATGATAATTTTTAATTCTGTACAAGAACTTTAACCCAATTTTTAATTTGATACATTAAAAATGTGTAATTATATATCTGAACTAAGGTTCAAGTGTAGACTCTTAAATTAATATCTTATTTTTTTATATTAGATAAATAGAGTCATTGGTATATGTCATATACAAAATATAAAATGAAGTTACGTCGATAATGATGTTAGCAACTTGTAAAATAATAATTAAAATAAAAAAATTAAAATTTCGGGTAAAGTAAACAAATGATCTCCTTATTATAGAGATTTGATAAATTTATCGATACTTGAAAAAGGATTCTCCAACCACACAACTATTTATATGTTTCAAACTCATCTTTTTTTTTCCATTAAAAAATCGATCGTCTGATCTGGACATTAACCTTTTGACTGAGATATGATAAAATTATACTTTAATTATGTCTACTAACACCGTTGTTTCTCTCAAGCAATCACTCGACAAACATAATGTTTTAAGCTCTTGTTCAACGGCATCATGTAAACAGACATACAATCAATCTACAAAATTCATCTCAAACGATTTTAGAATCAGATTTTATCATATCTCAGTTAACAGGTTAACGTCCAGCTCAGATGATCGCCAATTTTTTAACGAAAAAAAACGAGTTTGGAACATATAAATAGTCGAGTGATCATTTTGTAACTTTTAATAGTCAAGAGTCTCAACAAAATAACATTTTATAATCGAATGATCATTTAATAACTTTTAATAGTCGAAAAATTCAATAAAGCGACACTCTATAGTCCATGGACCATTCTTGTACTTTACCCTAAATTTTCACATACAAAAGTACATGCCTTAATTAAAAGATAAGGATTGAGTTATTGTTGAATAGGAGACCTTAATTGAAAGAAACTCTCGTGAGTGTAGGGTTCCTTTGCTTAAAACATAATATAATTTTTCTCGAGAATCCATCCACATATTCATGTTTTCCATGGCGAATTCTTCAGCCCAGAATCCTTGCGTAACGTATTGTATTTCCAAAACTCCATTACTTTCTTCTTTCATCTTTAGGAACTATGATCAACATATCTAACAATTAATGCGTTCAATCTAGGTTTTGGTTTTTTATATTATTATCGTATTAACTTAGCGTTTTATTAGCTTTGATTTGATATTTTGATGAAGGGTTTTTTCAATAAAATATTTAGCTATAACTTGTACTGATGAACATGAAATACACAATTGTCTCCAGGTTCGTCCAACGTGACCAGAAGTCAACGAGGGACTGGACTGATCTTCCTCTTTTACCATCCATTGCTGATCGTTTAGCCTTAATCGAGCTTATCAGATTCCGAGCCGTCTGCAAGGACTGGCGCGCGGCCTCATCCGACACCTTGGACAAGGTCGAAGCCATACTGGATACAGAGCCGTGGTTCATATTATACGGTGATGATAATTCTACATGCTCATTGGTTACTGAAAATTCCACTAAAAAATACACCATTGATGTCCCGGAACTGAACGGAACAATCTGCCTAGCATCGAGCCAAGGGTGGCTCCTACTATTCTGCGAAGGTTTGGTGTTCTTCCTTTGCGTTTTGTCCCGTGCCAAAGTCGACATTCCGGCGACGTTCCCCCACTCGGAAATCTCCAACCACATAGCGTTCTTTTCGGCTCCGCCGACATCGAACAACTGCATCGTGGGCGTCCTCAGACAAACCGAAACCGAAACTGAATTGTACATGATACGTCGCGGAGCCACCACTTGGACCAAGCACAAACTGGCTCCTTTGATCCGTAGGAACATAAAACACGTCTCTTACCATGAAGGGGAGATTTACTTCATCGACGACCGGTATTTGATGGTGTTTCTCGAGATTGAGAATTCGAGGTTCTACCACTGGAGAGTAAATTATAGTGACTCGGAGATGGGTTCAAGGTTCAGGCGGGAGGGTGAGAAGAAGTTGACGGAACTATTGGCATTGGATGATATGTCTCAAGTCTCAATTTGTGGGACGTATGTACCTTTTGACAATTTTCGTTGGAACAAGACGGTGCGCTATCAAAACAGCAGGGTTTGCAAGAAACAAGGCGCATGGTTTCAGCCCAGGTTCCATCAGATTACCCAAAAGCAAAGCTGGTGACTGCTTCTTTAGTTGGGTTTTATTATATTATTTTTATTTTATGATATTAGGCCTAGTTTTTGGATATGCTATGGGAAAGTTCTTTTAAATTTGTTGCATTTTTTTTAACTATGTTTGTTTTTATTTCTTGGAATATATGTTGGCATGGCAATGTTTAGGACAGCACCAATCAAGTTATATTGGCTTTGTTCTTGATTTAAGCTTCCTTAATCGCGTGAATGCTCTTATTATCCCTTGTGCCGATTTTGTTAACTTCTTGGATGCTTTCAAATAGTATATTGAGTCATTCCATTGGTGACTGTTTCTTTAGTTGGGTTCCGTTAGTTGGAAGGCTCCAGTTTGAACGCAATCCATTGTCTTTGATATATATATATATACATATATATATCTCCAACGTGGAATTGTGTTTGTTGTCATTCAAAAAGTTTACATTTGATAGGACAAATTCATCAAGAAAAGAAATCTAAATTAAGATTCAAGAATAAAAGTTGGAAAAAAATAGTCGAATTAGTTAATAATACAATCCGTTGTCCAACTTTTAATTAATACAACTCATTGTACTAGGACTTTGTTTTAAGGATAAGCTTTTTAATCCTAGTCCATGGAGTTAATATTAGATTAAGACATCCTCGCTTGTAAGGAGACTCAAATATAAATATATGTTTTCCGCTCCTCAATTATCATTATCAATTTAATGAGCAATTAAGATACACACAAGAATTCGGCTTAAATATCTTTTGTCGTCTTTTCATCCTAAGTCTCCTCTTATTGTATTTTCGCCCACTCCATTTGTTATACCCTTTTGAGTCCGGCTTCGTTTGGTAAAGCTTCTCCAAACTAACTTTTCCAGCGAGTTTATCAAACGAAAAAGTATCGTTTTTTTATGGTATTGGTTTGAGTCAATAATAACTTTTTCAAACGTGAATCTTTGGATGAAAATGAGATGTTTAAGATTGTTTTTCCGTTTTGAACAAAATTATAATCCAAAAGAACTTCCATAAGCATTCCCAAACGGCCAAATATTTTAAGCATTATTCATCAAGGTTGAAAACTGAACACATAACTCATATTCTTGTGCAATCCCATGATTTATAACCCTAGGCCCATAAGGCGTAGGAGCCACCTAAGGGAACACCTTGGGTTCATAAGGACTTACCCAAATTGAAGTGTCTTCAATATGCATTTTTCTAGAACTGTATCTCTAAGGTCTTACCTTAGGCCCATAAGGTGTAAGAGCCACCTAAGGGAGCACATTGGGTTAATAAGGACTTACCTTAGTCGAAGTGTTGGAGCCTACCTAAGTGGTGCCTTAAGTCTATTGAGTCAATCAAATCAATGGAATGACCAAGAGATGGTGAATTTGTAATTATAAAAGTGATGGAAGCTTTTTGCAAGAAAATGAAAAATTGAAACAAGCAATTTTAAAGTGATTCAACTTCTTCAATGAAATCTACATCGACTACCTTAGCTTCCACACTAACAATTTCAACACACTAATTTGTTCTAACCTTTTATGACAAGGTGTAACCTTACAACACACTTAGACTTATACCCCAAAATCTCAAGTGTACAACACTTCCTAAGAAGAAATTAAAAAGAAGCAAACTATTGAATATCCTCACAAGATAAGATGTTTGCAAATTGAGGCTCACACACCCAAGAACACTAGAATGAAAAATACAAAGAATGGAATAGTGTTCTATGTAAGAAAGACAAAATAGATTACAAATTTGGCTTTAAATGCTCTTTGATTGTTGGAATAGATTTCTTATCTTTTATTGGTTGTTTAAAGACCCCTTTTATATGCTCTTACTGATTTATAGCCATTTATGGTTGTTGGAGGGAGTTTGGAGCCTTTTGAAGTATTAAATTCATGCATTTAAGGCTACTTGCACACAAAGTTTATAAACTCTGGAAAAATTTTGAAACTCTTCGAAAGAGTAATTGAAAAATATGACTGTTGGACCCAAAGTATTGAAACTTTAAAGAAAGTTTCGAAACTACATGAAAGTTTCAAAACTTTTTAGGCTATTGTTTTGGAAAGTTTTGAAACTCTTGTATAATTTTTAAAACTTCTGGTCAATGCTTGTTTAAAAAGGTAATTTTTGACATTTTGAGAAATGTAAGACTTTGGAAATTATTCTAAAGTATTGAATGATATTTTTAATATAATTTAAACTTAAAAGACTCATTTTAAAGTTTTGAAAATTTTTAAGGGACTTAAAATTAATTTTACAAAAATTATTATATTTAATGTTATATCAAAATCATTTATGTTTATCAATCTACCCCTTTTTTATATAACAAAACATTTTTGTAAAAAAATTCTTAATTCAAAATTTGTCATGATTTTTTAAAATTATATATCATTCAAATTTTCATTCAACTCCCCCTTGAAAAACAATTTGATACTATAAAATTTTTAAACAAAAATTTATATAAAAAAAACGATCAGTTTTAATCAAAAGTTGTTTTTGCAATTATTCCTTCCCCTTTTTGTTAGATTAAAATCATTTATCTACAAAAAGAAGAAACGATCAGAGCATAATAAGGCAAGATAAATATAATCCAACATATAATAAGCAAAAATATATTTATCATATGCATAAATAACATTCCAAAATATCCAACATAAATAACCAAAATAATCAGAGATTGTTTAGCTTTCCCAATGTAACATACCTACTAGATGAGGCATATCGGAAATGGAAATGGAAGTTTTGACTAACTCAACATAAGCAAAACATCCCAAAATATGAAATTCAAAATGAAATCCAACATAAACATCCAAATGCAATAATAGAAAAATCCAACAATCCTAAATGCAACATGAAATAAAATGGTCAATCTTCATCATCATCACCATTCTCATCGTCGTCGTCGTCGTCCTTCAGATACAAAAAAGGACCGGAAGGGGGATGAAGATCCCAGAAATGAGCCTCCAAGGCGCTAAGACGAGCTTTAATGGCCTCAAATTGATCGACCGTGTAATTGTAAAGCATTTCATTAGTGATGGGAGGACGACCAACAATCCCATGAGCGGCATCAACTTTGGGAGCATATTCGGCTTGATCTTGACGAATTCAAACCCATTCACCTCTGATAAAGCCATACCCAATTTTTTTAGCTGAGGTGAAGTCGATATGGCTCGAAAGAGGAACATTGGTGTCATTGGAAAAATTAACCTGATGCTTGGTGAATATGTAACTAAGAACACAAGCGTAAGGTAAGGAGCGTTTAGACACTAGACCTTTAGAGATGGTATTGACACGTTCGATAAAGATGATATGAGCGAGGTGATGATGAGTTTGAGAATGAAAATGGTAAATACACAAATAGTCTAAGTCGTGCATATAAGTGGCTTTTCTACCTAAAGGGTGGAGAAACCAAGTGACAAGGAGGTGCAAGAGATACTCTTCAAAGGCTAAAAGAGTGGGATTGTGACCTTGAAGAGGAGCAATGTGAAGGGAGCATTCCCATCGTATGGACCGTCACAAGGAATTCCTAAATAATCGGTTATGAATTGAACGGTAAGCTCAATAATTTGACCCATGAGATAGTATTTAATAGATATAACCTTTTGCGTTTGACTTCTAGGAGTAAGATTTAGATTAGGTTCTTCATGAATAAGAGCAGTGTTAGAGAAAAAAACTCGAACGAGATTAGGATAGATGACATTTACGATTTACAAAAGATCGAGCCACTCCCAAATGGTAAAAAGATGAAGCAAAATGAAGCTGTAAATGTTTGAGAACAGAAATTCTTCATCAAATTTATGTTCCTATTGAATTTGTCTATTACATAAGTGTTGGTTGAACCTACGACGATCCTCGTTGGATTCAAAATAGAGGGACTCAAAGGAGTTCGATGAAGAGGATGAAGTACTGCCTCTAGGACATTTAAGGGAAGTTTTGGGAGCCATTTTTGTAGACAAAATAATAGGTAAGCATGGGAAATTTTGGTTTAGGAATTTTTTTGAACAGGTTAAGGGAAGACATAAAAACGATAGTTCGAATAAAATTTGATGAATGGGCAGACAACCTGTAAATAAAACGCACATATATAACACTAATTAACAACCTAATTACAAAAAAATTCAAGTAATTTTTGGATATTTACTAAAAAAATGCAAAACCTAGGTTGAAAATTTTTTCAAAAATTTTGAAGATAACTATGAAATAATCAAGATAATCTATGGGCAAAGCATTTTAATCAATAGAAATTAACTTGATTTTGAGTGAAATAACAATTAAAATCAAAAGATTTAAAAACATTGGAACAAAATGGATTCATGTGAAAAAACGATTCAATGAGTAAATAAAACAAAATAAAGACAATGGGTGATTACCGGAGACACCACGGTGGCCGACAGACTGATAGAGACCACTAAGAACGATGGATGAGCGATGGGAATGAAGGTCTTTTGGGATTTAAAGGAGAGGGACGAGTGACTTGAGTTAGAAACATAAAGGGTTTTGGAAAAAAAATAGGTCTAAAACATATTTTAAAATGAGGACGTGTGACAAGTTTCGATAATCTTAAGGAGTTTCGATACTTTGAAGGTAGTTTTGAAACTTTTGAAAAGATTCACATGTGATCCCTAGTAGATATTCAGGGTCAGACCTTCCCAGTAAACTTGATGTAGTTATCATTCAGAGAGTTCGACATGATCTTGGGTATGGATTGGTTAACCGAGCACGACGCCAGTTTGAAATGCAACACCATACAACTTAAGCTCAGAGCAGACGATGGTACCAAGCTTGTAATTTTGAGTGGGACATTTGGCCAATCTAAGATATTGTTTGTCATAAAAGCCCAGCGGATGATCGATCAGGGATATGAGACCTTCTTGGCTCATATGGTGATACACGAATTTCAGTTCCAACACTCGAAAATATTCGAGCAGTGCAATATTTTCTCGACATGTTCCTAGAAGAATTATCAGGTTTACCAACCTAGCGTGAATTAGAGTTTGACATTGAGGTAATACATGGTTCAGC